TATGAAAGGGGGACTCAGAGACCTGTCAGAAAAATTACAAAATTAGAGCTGAGCACTGCATTCAGCAAACAGATGATACAGAGATGGCAGAAGTAAGTAGTGCTGGGAGCTAGGTTAAGATAGCACACTCTGAAATTTTCAGTAACAGGAAAAAAATCACTCTGGATACTTTTAAAATCTATCTGCATTTTCTCTTAGGTCTCGCTACTGGTAAACACTTAAGTCAGCTCCTCTTTTCTTTCTTTACCTCTTCAGTCTTTCCAGGGTTGCTTCACTGTAAGCATAATAAAAAAAAAATATTAGAAGAGTAATAGCCTGCTGATACCTATTTCATGATTCTTTTAATCCCAAAAATTGATTTCTCCTCCATTCTTTCAGCCTCACTAATTGAAATGCTCCAGGGAAATAAGAAAGAGCACCTAAATTGGTCTTGCATTGCATGTCAAAACAAACATTAGATGCTTATGACAACAAAAATAGCACTGGGACTCTAAAAAAATACACTGATTTTTGCTATCCATGCTGCTATCAAAATACATATAGCAGATTCATCATCTCACTGAAGAACCAAAGCTGTAGAACACAGTTTTTGCACTGGAACTACTGTAACCAAGAAAAAGACTAATTAGTATTCTATATTCTCTCAAAAAAAAAGAAAAAAAAAAAGCTTGACTTATGGCATTTCATCCTGAATGAACAGGTTTATACACATACAACTACACTGAAACAAACCTGATGGCAGCAAATTGCATAGTGAAATTGGAGGTACTTCAAATGGCAAACCATAAAGCTCTCTAGGACTGGAACAGAGAATCAAGATGGCATGATTACAAAAACAGCACAAAATAGCTGGGTAAGAAAGAATGGTCAGAGTGTTTGTGGAAAGAGTTTGACACTACAGAAAGAGAAAGAGCCTATGAAGGCACTGAAGTCAGAAGAGGAAGAAAAATGTATGCTTCCTGATGGGAAATACACAAGAGAAAGAACAAAGATATATTACTTGTGGTACTGAAGAAAAACAAAATCAAATTTCCAGTCAACTTTGACAGGTATCCAACATTGAAGTTCAGTTAATGTTCTGGGGAAGAAAAAAAAAACCCAAAACAAATCTCAAAACCTACAGACCCAATAACTTAATATGCAAGTTATAGTGAACATTCATACACAGTATGCTGTATAGCTATACATTTAAAGACATCTCTTATGTAACTTATACTTTGTCAATGCAGAACTAAAGAAATGTGCTCCTTTAAGGAATAAATTCACTATAAAGGTTTTCCTAAAAATAGAAGATGGAAAAAATTGTAATTCCTTCCTAAAACTGGTTCCTGGTCTAAAGGGATGTATAGAACTGTACATAATCATCTACCAGCCTTCCTGCTGAGAAAGCTTGAACTTCTTGTACTTTGATTCATACTCCTGTCAACACTATCTGACTCCAGGAGCAGGCTCTGTAGACCACTTACACAATGAGACATCATGGCACAGAACTGCAAGTGTCAGAACTTGACCCTTACAATATATAAAGGATCAGATCGCTAAAACACGTAAGCATATGTCCATTTTCGTTGAAGTCTACTAGTACATTCATATGTGAATGACTTTGGGATAAAGAAAATCTGAAAGAACCTACAAAAAAAAAATCATTAAATTCTATTGGATGAGGTGTATCCCTGTGCTTTCTGTATGTGCTACTCTTCCCACAACTGTGTAATTCTTGGCATTTAGTAAGAAGTACCCAGCATGGTGCTGGACTGTTCCTCATAAGAGCTGATTATGCTCCCACAGCCACTTAGAAGAAGATTTAGAAGTATGAAATAAGTACCTACACACCTACATTTTCTCTTCATCTTTTAGAGTAGAAAAACATCAACTTAAAATAAAAAATACACCTGGCAAATGAAAATTAATTTATTATGCTTAAAATTATTTCAGCCACTCAATTTGCCTCCCAGTCCTATGTGCAAAAGGCCAACTACCAGCAGTGACTGCAGCACCAGCTAAAAGCACAAGATTTACACTGGCACTCTTATTAGAGCTGAGGTAATTTAAGAGGAATGTCAGCACAAATTTACTTTTCAAACTTTATTACTCTGCTTTAAGAAGAGAAAGAATGCTACTATTGTAATTTTTAAAATATTTACAAAATCTTTGGTATCTGGTTTTAGTTGCACAGAGTCAAAGCCAAGACTCTAACATCACCCCACATCACATTTCTTTATAAGAAAATAGAACTAAAGAATAAGAAAATCACATTTAGTGAAAATAGAGTTTTTGAAGAGAAATGTGATCACTCTTCACACTGGATAAAATTCAAGGCTACCGCTGAATTAAAAGGAGCTACATGTAGACTGTTCTGCAAGCTGTGAGCTTGTGAAACTGGCTTCCATAGGTATCTGAGTCATTCAAACCCACTTCCCTTTGAATGTGCAGGTTCCAACCATAGAGAGAAAAAAGGGGATGAAAATCTCAAGCTAATCACATCTCTGCCAGTTGCATAATGTTAATCCTGAACCAGGGGCCACATTCTCATCCTCTTGTCTGCAAATTGAACTTCCTTCACTTCTTCTGGCAGAGAACAATGTAACCTACTTCTAAATAATCTTTATTCCTCTTTAAAGAGAAGGGTGATGGAAACTGTCCTGGTGGCCATTCAGTAGTGACCTTTACTCACAGCATAGAAACATTTCAAAAATCACCTCTGTACCATGAAGGCCTTCCAAAATCATCCCTAACAGACATGTATTTTATGGAAAGAAATTAAGAAGCTGAGCAGAATACAGAAGCAAAAGGGAACCATGTGAGAAAGAAGCAATGTACTCTTTGCTTTGCAAATAGCAGGCAACAGAAAAACAACTGATGTACCATGATACTTTTCCTATTAAGCCAAATACCTTTTTGAACGTAACTATTTGTAACAGCAACATTAAGGATTAAAACCAAAGCCCATCCTGTGCAGTCAAAAAGGAGTTCAAACAGAGAGAACCAAATGAAGAAGCAACCATTTATTTGCTCTATCTCCTCCTGCTCTGCCTAATGCCTGCAGTTAGGAAGGCACTGTCCTCAGGTGGTGGTGCCACTCAGCCCCTGCTCCCTCCGACAAGGCTCCCAAGATTATTCCATTTTGAGGTAGACACCTGTCCACTGGCAACAAGCATGAGAGCATCAACTGCAAAATGAGGCTACCACATGGCAACATCTTTCAGTCACTACAAAACTTGCTTCCAAATTGAAACAGCTACCAAGAGGTGAAAAGCTCCATATCACATTTCTAATCCCTCCTCTCTGCAACTTATTTTTTTCTTACTTTGTAATGATTCATGTAAGTTTTCCTGGTCTTATAAAACTTGTTCCCTCAAATATATTCCCCAAATTGCTTTGACTCTCATGCAGCAAGGATTTTTACAATGCATGTGAGAAATATTCTGTTGCTCATTATCTATTTGAAAATACACACTTAAGAAAAAAGGTCAGATAAAAATTGGTATAATGTGGAGCTCTAGTGGTAGTGAAGAAGTAAAGCAGCATGTAACACCAACCATGAAAAAAGTAGATATTGACCTTTAGTACAAAAACAGTAAGTGAAAATATGGTAACAGATGGATTTAAATAAGGAAGAAGTAAGAGGGAAAGAGCTTAGCATCAAATTAAACATCATTTCAGGCTCACAGAATGCATCACTGCAAACAACATGATGAGTAACTCTCTTTTCTGTGCACAAACTTGCATCTTGTAATTCACTGCAGTTAAACAACAGAAAAAATAAGATCAGTTGGCTTACATTAGCCTTAAAGGAAAATATATATACTACAGGAGGAAACCAGCATTCCTTACCAAAACTAACTGGGAGTTGAGTAATTCTATGCACTCTTTTAAAAGTCCTATTCACATATATTGTCCTTCCCATGATAGCCGTGGCCAACTCCAACACCAGCAAGTAAGTACTCTGTTCTCAGTTGTATCATCACAAAAACAGAGTACCAACCACTGTAGGCAGCTTTAACACTGAGATTCAGCAGTCCCTTCAGACTAATGAGTTTGGCAGGAACTACATCCTAAACAAGGAAAGCTCCTTCCTCATACACGTGTACTGTCATACATCCTGCTGGCAAGCATAATCAGCTTAAGTCCTGTTGAAAGTCAATATTCCACCTGTAAAGGAGATAGTTTTTCATACACAGTGAGAGGATATCCAAAGCATCCTCTCCATCTAGTGTGTCTTATCACAGAGGATGACAGCACTCCTACATCCCCCTGTGAAACACTGGCATTATTTTCTTAACTTTTAAGATGCTAGATAAACTTGGATATAGGTTAGGAAAAGTTTCTAAAGCTAAAACAACATTGACAGATATCAGACTATTAAAAAGGAGCACAAAGACCACAGAAACATTTCAACATGAATGCACAAACAACTGTGCAGTATTAGAAGGGCCCATTTCCAAAGTCAAGCGATTTCCCTGGTTGCACAAACACACACAGTTTTGAACCTTTGGTAGGAAAAACCTGCAATTCCTTCCTATGGAAACAGCTTTCCACCAAGACTACAGAAAAACAAAATGGTAAAAGGCTCATGTATATATTACTGCTAACTTGTAACAGACCCTCCACCTATTTCAATCCAGGTTATAAATCGTTCAATATTTTTGCTAGGGGCTTTTGCTCCACTTCCCAAGTTAAGTACACAGTGCCTTGATTCAGTACTACCGTATTTAAGACCGACTACATTTCATCTGCTGGAGTGGATCATTAACATCTTCGTAAGTGTCCTTGTTTGGCAACATCCAGCCTAATGAGTGGTTTTTATTAGCATTAATTCCAAACTAGGGCCACAGTGAAAACCAGTCATTCTGGGCTTTACAACTTTTGTACCCAAGGAACAGCTGTTGATTGAAGAGGCATCCCCTGGACCTGATTTAGGTGTATTTCAGAAACGTGGGATACCAAACAGACCAGAGTTACAAGCCTCCGAGAGGAGATTTCCAAGCTGCGGCTGTTACCTGGTGGGCAGTTGCACTCTGGAGCCGCTTCTCTCGCTACTCGTATTTTTGCCAAGTGCTCGTAGGATTTCTGGGGGCGAGAGAAGCAACATGAGGGCGGGCACTTGGCGAGCTCGCTCGCCCGCCACGGGCAGCGCTCCCGATCGCGGCCGCAAGCTGGAATTTACCGCTATGCCAGAGGCTGCGCAACCAGCGGCGGCTTCTTTGCTTGGGCTCGGCCTAAGGTGCCTCAGTGACCTCACCACCCCCACACCAACAACGCCAAGCCCGACACCTCAGGGTCTCTCCCAGCCCCGCCGCAAGTGACCCCGGTGTTTCTGCCCGCTCACAGGCGCGGTGGAGAAGCGCAGGGACGGCGGCAAGTTACAGATGAGAGGAGCGCCCCGGCGGCGGCGCACACAGGGGTCCCCGCCACCCCCATCCCGCCGCTCCAGCAGCCCGGGGAACCCCAGCCCGCTCCTCCCCCGGCCCCGCCGACCCTTGGGGTTCCGGGCTCACTTTCCCCGCTTCCCCCTCCACCCGCGCAGCTCTCCCCGGCCACCCTCTTCATGGCCTCGGCCACCCTCCGCCCCGAGCATCCCCCATGCCCGCCACACGCACACCGCACAGCGGCGGCCACCCCCGTCCCGCACACCTGGGCGAGAAGTCGCTCCACTTTCTCCTGCATCATCGCGTTCAGCTGCTCCAAGGAAAAGCCGGGCAGCGGTGGGAGTGGGGCGGCGGCGGAGAAGCCCCCTCGGGCGCCTTCGATGGCCGCGACCCTGGCCTGGAGGTCGCTGGTCCGCACCCCCAGGTAGACGCAGGAAGCCGCGGCCAGCGCCGAGAGGAGCGCGGCCAGCGCGGAGCCGACCGGCCCGGCCCGGCCCGGGCAGCGGTCCCCGCCGCAGCCGGGCTTCCCGAGGCCGGGCTTCCCGCTGCCGCCGGGCTTCCCGTTGCCATCCTGTCCTGCGGCTCCTCGGCTCTTCCCCAGCGTGCTCGCACACCCTTCAGCTGCGGCAGCTTTGATTTCCTTTCCTCCGCCCCCCATGGAGGCAATTAGTTTACAAAACAACGATAACAAAAATAACAGCAACGAAGTAGGAGAAAATAAATAACGAAATGGCAAAACAATTCTTTAAAAGAAGAAGAAGAAGAAAAAAAAAAAAAACCCGCGGTAAGTAGAAGCAAAGCCCGCAGCCGGCTCACACACTTGGAAGGCGAAGCGGCGGCGCGCTCCGCAGCCCGCACCGCACCGCGCACCGCCGGCAGCGGGTCGCGACCCACCCGCGGCAGAGGCGGCGGCGGGAGGCGGGGGCGACGAGCCACAAGCCGGCAGCGGGCTGGGTGCGAGGCGTGCCCCCGCGGCTTCCAGCCGCCCTTCGGAGGGAGCAGCGTGCTCTGCGAGCGCTTTGCCACTTGTCAGAGAGGTTTTCAGGCGCGGGGCGGGAAGCGCCCCCCTCCGCCTCCCGCTCCCCTCCCCGCCGCCGGAGGACTTGTTGCTCCGCTCCACCTGCCTGCCGGCGCCCAGCAGCCGCGCCGCGCCAGGCGGGGAAGCCCGCAGGCGGCAGACAGCCCGCGCTGCCCCGCTGTCAGCCGCGGAGCCGCCGCCCCGCATCCCCGCCCTCATCGGCATCATTTATTCACCTAGGCGGAGGGGCGGCCTGCGGGCCGCGGGCGACTCTCTTTGCATAATGCGTGCGCGGCGTGCAGGACATCAGACTCACAAATTAGGAGGGCGAGGGTCGCAGAGGCCTCGGGAGGGCTCCCACGCCGGGTGGTGCCGGGGAGGGGGCTGCAAGAGGCGGCTGGCCCGCCGGGGCAGCTCCGGAGCACCGAGCAAATTTACGGCGGTTTATGGCCGGGCTGTCATGCCCACGGTACGGGCATAAAGCACGGGAGTGCTCCGTTGTCCCGCTTTATTTAGAGTGCGGAGGATAAACGTGTATAACTCACCATCGCAGGCAGGCGACGTGAGGGGTCACTTCCAAAGCCGCAGCCTGCACTAACTTCCTGTTGTATGGAGATTTAGTTCTAGCCAATTTTCTTTCTGCTTGTTTATTTGTCAAGTTGCCTCTTCACTGTTCCATACACACTGGAAAGTTTTCATTGTGCCTGCCTTGGCTGACTAGAAGAGGAGCATCAACATCCAAAGAATTGCAGGTGTGGCCTGATGGGAAGCTTGGTGGTTTGTAGTCCTTTCCTCTCTGCCTCATACTGCCCAAATACCGCATTGACCTGCTGTAGTTTGGTTCTCGCCTTTACATTACCACAGTGCTTCTCCTATAAAGCACTTTTGTGTGACATTTCTTGTGTTTGGTACTTTGGTACTTCTTGAATCAGAGAAACTTCTCAAAGCAGGACCAGATGGTGAACGAACACACACCTCATCCTGTTTGGCGCTTACTTATGTGAATACTGACTACTTACAAGATATGGGATGAAAAAGAGATTTGTCCCAACTATGGCATTTTCAGACAACACCAAGAGTGTTGGCTTATACTATGAACCAAGTTTCCTTATAGAATCATATTTGTGCAGTTTTATTACCTATTGTTTCCCAAGTATTCAAGCAGTCACAACTGCCATGAAGACATGAATCCAAAAAAGCTCTGTGGGTTTCAGTCTAATTACTTAGACTTTGAATGAAGTGTACCAGAAGTTCATAGCTAGTCATAATTTGTCTCTTCTTTCTAAATAAAAAGGGACAAGAAATCGTGATTACATAGCCCTAGGTGATAGTTTCTTCACAATAAACAGTTAAGAGTTGCAAGAGAGTTTACAAACAACACTGAGCAACACATACCTTGTGGTCAGGAGTTGTGAATAACAACTGCACTTTTCAAAACAAGGACTTGCTCACAGACTATGTGTCGGCAATAACAACTTGAAATAGTATTTGAATTAATAAACTGACAGCAGAAAATAAGTAATACCGACATGCTCTTATTTGGTGCTCAGCATGGGCTCCCCAAGTATGGTATGAGCAGTGCCCAGGCTGCCTCCGAGTGGCTGGCAGCACACGAGGCGCTGGAAGCCATTGGCGCAAGCTCCAGCGCTTCACATTACCCCCTGTTGTTAGTAGCCAGCACCATTACTCAGTGCTGCTCGTGGTGACATCCAGCAAAGTAACCCTGCAAACCCTCAGGATATGATTGCTGTTTTCTGCAGGGGTTAGCGGGGCGCCGCTGGCAGTGGGATGGCTGCCCGCACCCCGCTGCTGCCTCACAGCAGCACTGCCTCACTTGTGGTGCCTAAGTGGGTGCTGCTCATCTGGGCCAGGGCGGCATCTCCTCCTGGGATCAGCTCTTCTTATTTCAGAGCACATACACACATCCTCTGGCTGCTGCAGTGCTCCACGTGGGGCACAGACAACCACGTACCCATAGGTGTGTGACCTGGCTCAATGTTTTGCTTGCCCAAATGATGCAGTCTTTCTGCCCAAGCATCTTTCTGCCCCAGCATCATGCATTCCATTCATTTTGGACAACGCATATTCTACATCCGAAATGTATTAGCCTGAGACAGAAAGTTCCTCATTACATTAGATTTGAACATACTTGCCATCATAAAGGTTGCCAAATGAGCCAGATTACCATGTTTCTATGGGTTACAGTGCAAAGCCATTTTCCTACTGAATAACAATCCCATGCTAGATGTTTCTTATTCTGAAGAGGTAGGATGGGAAACCTTTCTTTTTTCTGTCTGGGACAAATAGAAAAATCTACCAAACTAGAATCAAAGCCCAAGCTGGGAAAGCAAAACTCTAAAATATCCAAGAAATTGTTTTCATGCTCTTTCTCACAATGGGTAGCTATACTTGTACACAACTGGAGAAATGCTAATCCAGCCTGGTCTCAGCTCTGAAAAGAGATGTGACTTATGCTCATGTGCACATGGTTCTGCTCAAACATATCCTCAGACCAAGGGGAACATGATGAAGAAGAGTGAGAGGAGAAAGATCAGTCTTCCTTGTTGCCTCAGCTTAATGTTACATTTTTCTATTTTCTAACCTTGGTTCTGGGAAAGATGTCAGCTAAAAGTTTGTTGAAATATTTGATTATGGCAGAGTTAGAGAAAAGGTTATTTCCCATAGCTTTTTTTCTAATGTGTTTTCACCTAGAAATAAATAACAGAGTTTTTGAAAATGCAAATTATCAGTGTCCTCTGCTTGAAGCAAAACCACGGTGATTTTCCTGATGGAGGCATTATTTATCCACTTCACAGCAAGGTTGGTCCAGAACAGACTGGATTGGACTGCAGAATCCAAGCAGCAAGCTAAATTATGCACAGTGTGATTAAATCTAGCACAGGAGTTGTTTGTGTAGGCGAAGAACGTAACACAGATGTTTTACCTGTTATAAAAATCTCCGGTCACGTCTGCCCGAGTCGAGAGCATTGAAGCAGCCATACCCTCCCAAGCTCAGTTACTTGATACCATCAAGTGGACAACAGCAGCTTTGCAGTACACTTGTCCCATCTAAACACAATCAAGCAGAGGAAAACAGTGTTAAGGCACAGCGTTTGCTGCTTTTGCCAGCTTTCCACAAGCGGGAGGCAGAGCGAGTCCAGGACATGCATATGCTCAGTGCCAGTGAGCCTGCTTCTTATTTTGCATCCATGATGATGCCAGAGTCATGAAGGCATCTACTTAGGATCATAACTAAGATTAAAACCAGATTGCTGTAGCACTTTTGAGAATGCTATCCATGCAATGAAAGAACAGGGTTTCTTTTTTTTTTTTTTCTCCTCTCTCTATCTTAAAAAAAGCCACTGTATTTTCAAACTTTTTTATTGGTGAAATTTATAGGTCTTGAATTAGAGGGAGTAACTTGGTCTAACGAGTTAAACTTCTATTCCAGGAGTAAACCAGATAGCAGTTCATATAGGCAAGCAGTAATTTAACTGCTTGCTGCCAGGAACCACATCTCAGATGTTGCTAGTCACATTTAAAATATTATACCATGCAATTTTAGGCAACAAAAAACTTAAAATGCTTTAAAAGCCTATTTTGTGTCTGATAGCCAGAATACAGCAGCTTGAAATAATACCTGTACACCAGGTATTTTGAGCTGGCCACTAACACATACAGGTAGAGTGTAAGAAATGGCAAATCTACAGCACTCCAACTCAAACAGTAGCAAAAAGAGGAGAATTTTAAGTAAGGTCTGCTTGAAGTGCTCAAAGACCTGAGGCAGCCACACTTCCCACCAAGAGGGAAGTGCTCTTGCTTTGAAGATTCAAACCTCTAAAGGCCGCTTTTCAGCAGATCTTGTACATGACCAGGCCAAAGGTATTGACACAAGATGCTAGTGTTTGCATTTCATGAGGCTGTGTGTGAAGATGTGGATGGTGTTTGCAGATAACGGTTTTCCACCAGACAGGACTAGTGTCTGGAGTTCTTTCCATATTTTTATGTCTACAGCATGATGTATTTTGGCTGACCAATCCACAGTCCACTACTGGATTTCTTTACCAGATACAACATAAACTTGTGACTAAAACAGATGAGTGAAAAACAAGCATTCATCTGCTGAAACAACAAGCCATGTTCAATTTGTGATATATATTGCACATATGATCAGGAAAGGCAGAAGGCAGAGAGCAAACACAAATAGGGATTGGAGTCTAGGACCTCGAGTTAGAGCTGAGGCAACACACACAAAGATGAACGCTCGAATGGTTAATAATGGTTATGCAAACCCTTCTTCTGCAAAGGTTCCCGCTTTCAAATGGAGCTTATATATTATTCATTCTATGTGGAGCCAAATTGTATCTGCATTCTGCTTCTTCCTCCATTCATCTCTCTCCTGCTCAATTCAGCCTTCAAATTGGAGTGCATCTTGCACCCTAAATGAGATTTTACTCAACCTTTGTATACTTATATAGGGAAAATGCAAGGTGGAAGCCGAATCCAGCACTTCTCTCACTTCTTAGCTCCCTGGCAGGTTAGGTAGTATGGTATTTCTCATCTACATGCTCATAATATCTGCCAAGATAGCTCAGAATCACCAGGAAAACAACTTACTTCACTGTTTTGGGAAGAAAGTTGGAAAAGCCT